CATCGAGGTGTTCGAGCTGGCCGAGAACGAGGACGCGCTGTCCCCCGTGGAGATGGACCCCGAGAAGCTGGTGCACAAGTTCAAGGAGGTGAGGAGGGGCTGCGGGAGGGCGCGGGGGTGTGGTCACCTTGTGGTCACCCTGTGGTCACCCTGTGGTCACCCTGTGGTCACTCTGTGCCCGCCCCGTGCCCACCCCGTGCCCGCCCCGGCTCTCCCGCAGCTCCAGATCAAACACGCCGTGACCGAGGCTGAGATCCAGCAGCTCAAGAGGAAGGTGAGGGAGGGTCCCGGGGGTGGGGGGACACCCCGATGGGTGCCCTGGCACCCCGAATGTCCTTCTGCAGCCACCCTGCACGTGCCATTCCGTGTCCTGCTGTGTCCTGCTTGTCACCTGGCTGTGCCATATCATGCCGTGGTGTGCCATCCATGTCCCCATCCCCTGACTGTGCCATGTCCCATTTCCGCTTCCTGGCTGTGCCATCCCTGTCCCGACTGTCCTATCCCTGTCCCCTGTCTATGCCGTGTCCCATCCCTGTCCCCTGGCTGTGCCATGTCCCACTCTGCTTCCTGGCTGTGCCATCCCTCTCCCGACTGTCCCATCTCTGTCCCCGGTTTATGCCATGTCCCATCCCTGTCCCTTGGCTGTGCCATCTTCATCCCCATCCCCTGGCTGTGCCATCCCTGTCCCTGTCCCCTGGCTGTGCCACTTCTTGTCCCCTGGCTGTGCCATCCCCTGGCTGTGCCATGTCCCATCCCTGTCCCCTGGCTTTGCCATCTTGATCCCTGTCTTCTGGCCATGCTATCCCCATCCCCGTCCCCTGGCTTTGCCATGTCCCCATCCCCATCCCCTGGCTGTGCCAGCCCTGTCCCCATCCCTGTCCCCTGGTTGTGACATTTTGGTCCCCTGGCTGTGCTGTGTCCCATCTCCTGACCATGCCATCCCCATCCCCATCCCCTGGCTGTCCCATCCCTGTCCCCTGGCTGTGCCATCCCTGTCCCCAGGCCGTGCCATCCCCATCCCCTGGCGGTGCCATCCCCGTCCCATGGCTGTGCCATCCCTGTCCCGACTGTCCCATCCCTGTCCCCTGGCTTTGCCATCCCCATCCCCATCCCCATCCCCATCCCCTGGCCGTGCCATCCCTGTCCCCTGGCCGTGCCATCCCCACCCAGTGGCCATGCCACACACCCCGGTGACACCTCTGTCCCCAGCTGCAGTGCCTGGAGCAGGAGAAGGCGCGCTGGCGGGCCGAGAAGGCGCAGCTGGAGCAGAGCGTGGAGGAGAACAAGGAGCGCATGGAGAAGCTGGAGGGGTACTGGATGGAGGCGCAGAACCTGTGCCAGGCCGTGGACGAGCACCTCAAGGAGACGCAGGCGCAGTACCAGACCCTGGAGCGCAAGTACAGCAAGGCCAAGCGGCTCATCAAGGAGTACCAGCAGAAGTGAGGGCACC